AGTGAGAGTAACCTATATAAAAAAGATGTAAACAACAAAAATCGCTCAGAAAGTGGAGAAAAGTGGAACACTCATCCTCCACTCTTGACGGGAATGTAATCTGTGGTAGCCACTATAAAAAATGCTATGGAGATTCCTTAAAAATCTAAAAATGGAGATGTCATATGATATAGCAATACCACTTCTAAGTATTTAACTGAAGAATATGTAAACACTAATACAAAAAGATTTATGAACTCCAGCATTCAGAGCAACATCATTCAAAATAACCAAGGCGTGGACTCAACCAAAATGCCCACTGATGGATGGATAAAGAAATCTGTATTATATATTCAATGGAATCCTACTCAGCTATTAAAAAAGATGAATTTGTGTCTTTTCAGCAACATGGATAGAACCTGAGATGATTATGTAAAATGAAATAAGTCAGAAAGTCAAAGACAGATATAGAACAGTCTCACTTATATGTGGAATATAAATAATCAAATAAACTGGAAAAACACAGCAAAATCAATTTCATAAAAACAATGTAGGTATTTGTAATCCATACAGAATAAGGTTGCTGTAAAACTTAGTACTGTAGTTCTTTCTTGAATAGTATCAAGAGCCCATAGGTTGTGCTGTAATGATGAAAAAACACTGCAATAAAAAGGAGCTAGACATTGGACCTAATTGTTTGAGTGCGTACACATCTTTTGAGTAAACCCAATTCATTAGCTTGGATGACGAGGATATGAGAATTCTACAGCTGCTTCCCACATTTCACATTTGACACTGGCCAGAGCTTCTGACAGTTTTCTGATGAGCAATTCCAACTTTCAGAAATGAAAAAATCACAATAAAGATTATTGATTCCCCATACATATTCACAGCCTCAAGCGCTCAGGGGTTTTTGTGCTTCTCGGCAATTCTGAGGACTGGTTCTTGGTCTGAGTTGAGGAGGACATCGATTGTTTTCATTATATCTCGTCTGTCATAGAGATAGTACAGAGAAGGCTGAGAGACAATTGCTAAATCTTTATCAAGGAGGCTAAGTTGTTTTTGTTTTGTTCAAAATAAAAACAGCTTTTCAAAAAATAAGTATATATATGTTTATACATATAAGAGCTTTGGTGGATGATGAGTGATACATGTGCACTTATGAAGGTGTGAAAACATATCCCCCTAAGTTAACATAGATTGGTAAATAACTGATAAATTTAATAAAATTTTAAATCCCAATTATATCAAAGACAAATCTGGTTTGAATAAGAAAAAGATCTTCACCTCAATTTTCTTTTTGTCCTGAAGAAACTAAACCTCTCATTAGTAAAGAGACAAGTTATATATAGGTAATTTCTTCAATATGCAATGTTAAAACTAGGGAAGAACCTAAAAGTGAGTTACTTTTCACCAGGAACATCACCCAATATTAAAAATCAGGACATATGAGAACACACCATTGTTAATGCAGTTAAGTCAGAGTTAATAAAGTCATTTTTTCTTAGATCGGCTAATATAGAGAGAAATAGTATTTATCCAGAAAGAATATTTAAAATATAGTACTTCAAACTACAGAAAGAGAAAATACTCCAATTTCATTAAGTGACCTATGTAACCAACACGTAAGTACTTTGTTCTAAGTGTATCTTCTTTGCTATCAGCTGCATTACTGATTTCTCTCAATGAGAAATTCACATTGTCAAATAATACTGATGATGCACACTGGTGGCAGAGACCATTATTTGTGTTCTTTCTATAAATCTATCATCCTCTTTAGTTATTCTAATAGCTCTTCACCAGAGCATATATCCACAGGCAAACATTATATTTTACAGCATCCTTCGCTGCTAGTTATGTTTATGTGACAACTAGTCTACTTACGTGCAATTTGTAGACCCTAAACTTAATAGAAAGAATTTCCTTTTCCTGCTTTCCATTTTTATTTTAGCATGGATATGGTCAAAGTGACCATATATAGACTAAAGAGAGAAGTCAGGATTAAGGATGGTTCACACTATTAGATGAGAGAGAACTAAATATTTATCTGTTTTAACCATCTATTCTTTTCCTTTCTTCAAGAGATCAAACCTATATTCTAAGTAACACAGAATTCCCATCTAAAATGTATTCCTCCCTCCAAAGTGAATGCAGAAAAGTAGATAAACTGAGTGAAGTTTAATTGCAATATAAGAATAAAAGCATGTAAGGAGCTCAGACTGTCCAAGGAACAGGCAGTTTTATGGTAAAACAAAGGTCATGCATTCCCAACTCGGCAATCAAGAGTGTCAAATAAACATTTCCTGGAAGAAAAGGCTACTTGTCTTCTACAGAGGGAAGCTTTATTTTCTTCTTGACAGTATAAAACTCTTGTATATATTTCATACAAAATACTGAAATAGAACATAACTGCATTCCACACATCACTACACCAAAATGTCAAAAGATTCACTTCTCAGCATGAAAATGCACAGCAACATAAATATGAAAGGACTCCACATTTTAAATGCTGTATTCACACCTCAGTGCAGAGTCAAATGGAGTATTGTGAACAAATGTAGCATTATCAAATAACTGAAGGGGATTTAATGGAATAAAGTAAAAAGGGAAAAACCTGAATCATTGATTTTGGCAGATGAAGGATATCTATGACTAAAATCACTGAGTAAAAAAAAAAATCACCAATTAACTATTGCAAATTTTTGTTATAATTTGCTTCTTACACAATTAATTTGGAGATATTTCAATGTTGGTTATTTACTGGGCCCCTATATCTGCAGTACAGAGATTCTTTGTAGACTAAATTCATAAAGATACATAAAACTATATTAGCATATTACTGTATTAATGGAAAACAAATCTTTTATAAACAGTGGCCCCAATGATAAATTTCAAATTGTTATTTGGGTCACCGATATTTTAGATCTATCATCTGACTAAATTTTCCAATTTTTTTTTTTACCAGTTTTTGAAAATGTATTCTCATTAAGAGTAACAGCAACTCGGTGATCCAACACTATTGGTTTTCATTAAATATATGTGAAAGATACTTGCCTTATTTCTTTATTTAAAATTCATACAAATATAAGGTTGAAAAGTAAAATCAAAGTCAGGTGTGTTGCCTGAAAAATGGAATTTAGGGAAAATTTGAAGTCTTTTCTCTTTACTATTCTTGATCTATACCAGATGATTTTCTTAGATAAAGATAATATAGAGAAATAATGATGACAATCACACTCAAGTGTCTGAAAGAAAGGAGGTTCAATGTAGACATTTAGGAGTTAGAACACAGAGAAAATGTATTTCCCTTTTAACAGTTTTTAGTCTAAAATATAGGAGTGGCACTTCTTTGTTTATTGCAGCACTATTTATAATAGTCAAATTATAGAAAGAACTTAAGTGCCCAAAGACAGTAAAAGTGCATAAAGAAGATGTGTTCTATATGCACAACAAACAGCCACTAAGCTATTTTAAGAAATAAAATCCTGTGGGCCTCCCCGGTGGCACAGCAGTTGAGTGCTGGGTTGCGAAGCTTCCTGTCATCCTCTGCAGCGCCGGTTCGATCGCCGGCCACCGGGTGAGGGTCCCACATGGCACTCAGACTTTTCCTGCCGCCTGCTGCTCCCCTCAGCAGTGTGTTTCATCAACCTGCCTGTTCTGCTCTCCGCTCTGACTCTGGCGAATTCTATCACCCTCCCGTGCTTCTGACTGTACCCAGTGCTTGTATAAATAAATAAATAAATCTTAAAAAAAAATGAAATCTTGCAATTTGCAATTACATGGATGGAACTGTAGGGAATTACTCTAAGTTGAATAAGTCAGAAAGAGAAAGATACCAGATAATTTCACTCAATGTAGAATATAAAGAAAAAAAAAAAGACAAAAACAGTCAAAACTAAAAAAGAAAAAAAAAAAAAACCTAGAAATCTGACTACAGAATAGAAGTTATCAGCTGGGAAGGTGAGGTCAGGGAATAAATGGAGAGGAGTCAAATGGACTATGGTAGAGAATGTGGGGGGGGGTTGGCAGGTATGGTGTGGCACAAACATCTGAAGAAGAGTGAAACTATGCCCTAATCATATACAGAATTGTAAACCATTGTCTCAATGAAAAACAATACAATTAAAAATAAATATAAAATAAAGGTGATGTTCTTAGACTTGATAGCAATTATCTAAAAAGAGAACATACATCACCCTGATAAGAGAAGGTTAGTAGGGTAAGCATTTCCAATGATTTCACTCTAGAAATGTTATTAGAAATGATCCCAAGATAAATGTTATCCAATGTGTATCTCCTAAGGAGATGAAAAGCTTTTATCTCTGTGTTAAATTTATTGCTTAGATATTCATATTCAAGAGCATGAACAGAAAAGACAAACTAAAGGACATGAGGATGGACTTATTCCTTTTGTATGCCATATTGTCTGTAGTATAATTGTAAGAGAGAATGAACACACTGTTTATTCTCTTTGGTCTCTCTAAGTAATAAACAGAAGCAAGAGAATGTTGGAAAACTCAATCTCCTTAGAATACTTGTGAGCCCACAAGGTACATCAAGTACATTAGTATTTATACATATGACTTCAAGAACCATCAATAAACCTTTTTAAAACACAGTAATATATGAAAAGATTTGAGGAAATTTTGCAAAAATGAATAGATCAAGAAAACGAGCCAATTCTATTCTTTCTGTTCAATTTTGACCATCCCTAAGGCCAAATTCAGAACTTCCATGGCACAACTGTAAACATTTTACCTTTTAGAGATGTTTACTTGTGACGATCCTATAGTGAGATTAAAAGATAATGACTCTTTAATAGAGGTAAGGCAGTCTAATTAGTAATAATACAGGAAATTTGCTTTGGCTATTTATTTTTGTCTGCTATTGCCTGAATAGTTATAGTTTTGACCATAAAGATCTCTGAAGGCAGTTATTCTTCTAGCCACTGTGTAGAAATAATATATATATACATATATATATATATACATACAGAAAAATATTGAAGGTAAGCTACTCACCTATTCCAATGAAAGCAGCTTTGTACCCTTCTTCTTGCAGAGTGCCAAGAGTCATTTCATTCACTGAAAGGCTTTTACCACAAATTATCTAAAAGAAATAGCATTTGAATTAGAAAATTCTGTCACAGAAATCTTAGAAAAATGTTGAAACAAAAATATTCATGTCCACCTAAATTCTGGACGGTATAACAAACAAAACAGTATTTTTTCTAAAACATTAGTAGTATCAATGGATAAAAATATCACAAGGGATTTCAGTAAAGTCCACAATTTGTGGTGGTCTATATTGGAAATTTTGCTACAGACCATCAGATTTTACAAATATATAAAAGTTAAGACTACTACTTCTAATGAATAAATTTCATTAAACTAGAATTAATCTTTTGATGTGAAATCACATGAGAATATACTTTATAAATTAAAAATTATATATATATGATAAAGAAAATAAGAAAAATATGAATATACTGCAAAAACACAGAACCCAATAAAAACACTACCCTAAACTATTTTTTGTGTGAAAGGGAAAATTAAAACTGTCAATATAATTACTCAGAAAAATATTAAATACTAAAACATAAGGATACTAATAATGATTTAGAGAAATACATAATTTTAAATGGTTTCATTATTCAACCTAGAGAAAAAAAATAAACTATGTAACTCAAGAGCTTGAAAAGGAGTAACAAATAGTAAAAGGATAGCAGTGTGAGAGGAAGAATTAATTAATCAGCAATTAGTGAATAGAGATTTATAAATCTCTGAGAGCAGTTTCTTCTAGAGAAATCATACCTAGTCTGATCAAGAAAAAAAGGTGAAAAACAACAATGTGTAAGTTTTAGAAATAGAAAAAAAATCCAGGTACAGATAATATACTTTTATTGTAGGGTAACATGTTTATATCCACATTAATTAATTCAAACTTCTCATATTTTTCTAGGAAAATATATATTGGCCAAATTAATAAAATAGGTAGAAAGACCAATAAACATTAAATATACATATTTTTAAGGTGAATTTTCTGTTTCTCAAAAAAATGCCTTTAAGGTCAAAAGAATAAAATTTTCAAATTCAGTAAAAGGATAAGCCTCAAGACAGCATTCCTGTCAATAACATAATGAATAACTTGGAAGCTTATTTTTATAAGGTTAGTATAATTTTATTACTAAACACATTATCTAACAAACAAATACACAAGAAAAAAACAAAATAGATTTTAAGCAGATTTGAAATTATAAAAATAGCAACAGTAATTTACTACTGAATTTCCAGTTTTAATATTAAATGCATAAGTGAATTCAATATTGAATGAATAAGTGAATGCACAAGAAAAATTTAAAGAAAACTAGCAAAACTAATTCTAAATAGAAAAATATGATAAAATATGCAAAAATGGATTTATTTCAAAAATGCAAAGATTAATACAATTCAATATTAGTTTTCTAAAATGTGCATTTAAAAATGTTATACCTTTCTCAATTGAAAAAAAATAAAATTTTAGTTTTCTAGATTTAGAAAAGAGTGATTTTTCAAAATGATTTAAAATTTTATCTCTTAGGGCCTCTTTCTTACACATGAAAAGTTGTAATGCATTAGTACTGTGTAAAACATTACTAAAGATTGCAGCCAATAAAATAGTGAAAGAAATAAGTATATGTCAATAGTACAAATGAGAAGGAGATAAACTCATTATCTCCTTCTGACATAATATTTAACTTGAAAAATTTATCTTAAAATTAAGAGTAAATTATTGGCTATTAAATATGAAAACATTGAAATTATTCAAAAAGAAATTTAGTTAAGGACATAGAGAGTGAATATGATGAATTAAATTCAGTTTGGGAAATGATGGGTTTATGTTATCTAGATGATAAATGTGCTCATTAAAATACTAAGAATAGAGAACTGGATTTCAAAAGAAGGACAGTTCTAGACTAGTCTTAATCATACTACTTGGCAAAAGTAAATTCTCTGTAATTATTTGCTAAATAAATGGAACAATCCTATTAGAGAGGAAAAATTGAAAAGGTGGAAAAAACTTAATCAAGGAAAATGTTTTTAAAGGCTAGTTATTTTTAAAACCAAATAAAACATCTAGAAATGAAAAAGAAAAAAAAGAAAATAGAAGAGGCATGAAAGCTAAAATATATATGTACATACACACAGGCGTATACATATGCATGGATATATATATATACCTATTATATACAAGCAAACAAATACAAAATAAATACCAAATACCACACAAATATCAAAACATATGAGACTATATCTCATTGCACAGGAGTCAAACAGCATGAAACCATAGAAAATCCATTTTATTGCCAGGAAATTACTGGTGACTTTAAAATAGCATTACTTGAGAGGTACAGACAGAAGGCAGGGTATAGGAAGAAACTGGTGATGAGGAAAGGAAGAAACAAAGGTAGGGCACTTTTTAAAAAAATATATTCTCTAAGGTTAAAACTGTTAAGTCATAAAAGCAGCAAGTATTTTATCAATGGTTGCCAGTCCGTAGCACTGAAAAGCTCAATGCACTCTCAGAATTGTACATACAATTTATTGGTTAGAAAGCAACTTTAAATTTTTTCCTCCTTCACATGCAAAAACTTAGTTTTTTTTTTAATTTATTTATATATTTTTTACATCATCATTCATTTTTGTACAAGTTTGCTATCTCCTCTCAGGTGTAATCCCCATAAAATCATCACCTCCAAGACATTCCAAGAGCACTCTTGTGTTCTTCTCTCCCCTGTTTTGATCCCTCTCTGATTTATAGTTTGCCTGCAAGTTTGGTCTTTTTATTTTCTGATTCCTTCTAAAAAATGAAGTTTTAGCTTTAGCTTACGTTTTCATTTTTTATATTATAAATTGATAAGCCTGTATAAAATGATGATAAATCATTCCTATACTTTCCCAAAGGCAACCTAGGCTCTAAGACTTTTATTATTCTAGTTATTTTATGCATTTATGTTTGTATTTTACACATATGTTAACAAAATACATTCACCTTTCCGCAGATACTGACCATGGCTAGGGCTATTAATTGACTTTGTCAAGTTTATCTTTCTGTACAATTAGAACATGACATGATTTTAGCTAAAATGTATATTTTCTGACATGCAGTACATGACTACAACTGAGTTGCTGAATTGATGAGTTTGTGCAATATAACTAGTGCTGTAAAAAATTAAATGCAATTTTGCAATTAGTTATAAGATAAATTCAGAAGTACCTCAAATTAATTCTGATTCATTTTCAATTGGTAGTAATACCTAACATATTAGTTTGAAATCTCAATAATCATTTCCTTATTTAATGAGATTTATGGATGAACTTGTATTCAAAATAAAAGACATTTAAAGACCTTTTCAGAATATATTTTATATAGCAAATGTCACAACTACATGGTTTATTTTATACTATTTTGGAATGCTAAGGATTCATAAAGTTGTGAACATATGTACTACATACTCATTATAAAACATTTTGTTTAGTGGTTATGTGCAAATGTTTCACACACAACCACTGTCAAATGAGATGTGTAAAAGCACAAAAATGTTTTCAGTGTTTCCCTTTTTATTATTTTAATTTTTATTTATAAATGGAAGAGCCATAAATAATCACTTTTCAAAACATCATCTCCATGTAGTATGTAAACCACAGATTTTTGTCAACCTATTGATTAGATCTATTACAGAAAACACACTTCAAACAAAAACAGCAATGTGTTCAAAAGCCAGATTATAATCCTGTTAATTAACAGAAAAGTAAAAAAATATCTAAAACTATAATCTGGAAGTACAATGTACCAATCTTATGACCATCTTTAAATTAACAACATAATATATATATATTTAGCAAAACAATGACAAATACAAAGCTGTTGATTTCTTCCTCACTGATTTACTGCCTATGCTGAGAAAGGATTATCTCATTAACACTACTGACACCATGCATATCATAAATAAAATAAGCCTCTGTAAGAAACTGTGTTCCAAATTGTGAAATACAAATGTTTCAGGGTGCACACAACTTGCATGGAAAAAACGTGATTAAAGAAACCAAATCCTTCTATTAGCTGCACTGAACCCCTAAAGCAATTTAGGAATTTGTTTCTTACAGACAATTAATCACATGCAGGCGTGCCAGATGAGAACTATTGATTGCCCTTTTCCAGGCTAGTGGCATTAAGACAGTAGACAGACAAATGCCCTAAGCAAAGCGAAGCATCTTTCTTCTTCTGCCTGGTGTAGCTTTTAATTGTTATTTCCTAAAATGTGTGACATTTTGCTGTTAATTTTTAGTGCAGACCTTACTCCTTTCTCTTTGAGCAAATGCACATATAAGACTTGTGTTATTCATTTACCTTAACACCAAGGTCCTTCATAAGCTCAATCTCAAAATTCACTACATCATATGGCAGCCGGAACTGAGGAATTTCAGAAGCACTAAAAAATGAAGAAAAAGAAGCATTTCTGAAAAATTCACCCATTTAAAACAATATAACAAGTCTTTATTGATCAGTATTAAGTGAATAAGAATCTGTTCAAAGGGTATTTTCAAATTACATGTCAAGATATCAAAATTTTAATATGCATAAAACATTACATAGGCTACAGTAGAAATAGTACAAATTGAAGCAAAATAAACATGACAATGGAAAACAAATATTATAGACACTAGGTTAAAATAATTCCAATATTTTAAGCTCATTATTTAGTTGATTTATCTACTAATCAATTAATGAATTCCAAAAATAATTGCTGAAATCTTTAAAGAAATTAGATGTATATTTAATACAGAAATATATATGTGCAAACATATGCATACATATATATTCTGTTAAAATTAAAAACTAAACTTATATCGCCATGCTGACTATATTATAGAACAATTCCATGTGATCTATAGATATTTTTATAGTAAACCAGTCTTTTTCTAAGAAATCAATAACTATCCCAAAAGGAAATAGCCATTAAAAAGTAATCCTATTTGTTATCAGTGTTCATTGTCTGCACTTTTAAAAGAATAAAATGTATAGGCACATCTCAAGATATTACAGTTTGAGCTTCAGACAACCAAAATAAAGCAAGTATCACAATAGAGTCACATTAATATTTTGTTTTTACATTGAACATAATCATTATGTTTATACCATACTGTAGTCTATTAAGTAAGCAATACCAATTTGCCTAAAACATTAATTCTGTAATTCAAAAATACCTTATATTTAAAAAATGCTAATCATCAGCTGAGTCTTCAGGGAGTCAATAATTTTCCTGGTGGAGGCTCTTGCCTCAATGTTGATGATTTCTAATTGATCAGGATGGTGGTTGCTGAAGATTGGGGTGGTGGTGTGCCAGCAAGCACAAGGTAGGTTCACTAGCAATTGGAGCAAACAGATAAAGGAGAGTCCCTGAACCCCCAGTGTATTTTACAGGCTTTAATGCTTTCTCAGGGAACCAGGTACACAGGAACACCACACAGGGAGGCTGGCATGCGAGGAAGCAGGCATGGCCAGCAGTGGGAGAAGGGTAAATGATGATTTGTCTGGCTTTTATACTGCTGACCTCTATGCCTATCACCTGTGGCCTTGATTGTGCTAATGCAGGAGACACTTGGGAGTGGGGGTTCGGAGCATCATGCCTGATTGGTGACACCTGGAGTATGGCATGGACATGCGTAAATGGGCACACCAGAGCCTGGAGGCTGAGGCTATAAGGGCTGCAACACTCTAAGATGGAAACCTGCAGAGACTGGTTACCAGAGGAGGAGCGATGGCTGTGAGAGAAATCTCAGAGGAAAGAGTGTATAGAGATTCCCAGAAGTGCCCAAGTTGCTGTCTCCCTGATGGCCTGTTTCCCCTGCATACTATTAAAAAAATTGTGGGGATGATGCCAAGGGCTCCAAGTTTCTCTTTTAAATTGCCTGAACCGATGGTGAACCAACCCAGCCTGGGATGGTTTCAGAACAGTAGGCAGGCAAGCAGGCAGGCAACTGAGCCTCCCAGCCCCCCACAAATCTTAAATCTTTCCCTGGGCACTCTCTGCATTGTCTTGTGGTCTCACCTTTTCTATCGTCACACCGCTTGCCCTCTTGTAGCAGTCCTCTAGCAGCCATCAATCTCTGAGTGATGCTGCCCTTACAGCACTGACCTCTATGCTCAGGTGTGCACACTTACACATGCCTGCACACCTATGTTACAGGTGTCCATAATCAGGCATGTGTGTCCCACACCCATGCACCTTCTACATTAACACCATCAAGGCCACAGGTGATAGCCACAGAGGCTAGTGTTGTAAAAAGCCTGTTTAAATCACTTACTCTACAAGTGGCAGTGGCAATTTCTTTTTTTTTTTAAGATTTATTTATTTATGCCTACAAGAACTGGGGTACAGGCCAGAGGTGTGGGAGGGTGAGAGGATTCACGAGAGACAGAGTGGGGAACAGAACAGGCAGATAGACTGAAATGCACTGCTGAGGGGAGCAGTGGGCGAGTCAGGAGAGGTATGCTGCACCATGTGGGCCACCTCCCGGGCCAGGGATTGAACTCATGCTGGAGTGGCTGTGGATAGCTTCATAGTGCTGTGTCTTAACCCCTTGTGCCACCAGGAAGGCCCAGCAATTTCTTAACATATGACAATGAAGTTTGCTGCATCAACTGAAGCTACCTTTCATGAAAGATTTCTCTGTTGCATGTGATGCAGTTTGGTGATACTCTGCGCGCAAAAGAACTTCTTTCAAAATTGGAGTTAATTTCAAACCCTTCTGCTTTAACAAATAAGTTTATGTAATATTCTAAATTTTTTGTCACCATTTGTTCCCATAATGTTCATAGCCTCCTCACCTGGAATAGATTCCATCTCAAGAATCTACTTCCTTTGTTCATGACAACTAGTAACTCTTCATCTGTTCAAGTTTCATCACGAAAATTCAATTAAGGGGCAGCCATTCCTTTGAAATCATTCAGGGTCTACTTATCATTCTAGTTCATTTCCACCACATCTATGGTTACTTTCTCTACTTAAGTCTCGAACCCTTTGAAATCATCCATGTGGGTTAAAATTCACTTCCTCAAAACTCCTGATAATATTGATATTTTGATGTATACCTAAGAATCATGAATGTTCTCAAATGACAACTAGAATAGTGAATTCTTTCCAGTGGTTTTTAACTGACTTCACTCAGATCCATCAGAGGAATCACTATGGCAATCCTAACTTTATGAAAGCTATTTCTTAAATAATAAGACTTAGAGTCAAAAATGACTCCTTGATTCATGGAATGAAAAAAAATGGATGTTGTTTAAATAGGTATTTTTTTAAAAAAACACAAATCTCATATTTTAACAGTTTTGCTTCTGGTTATTATAATACAGCACATGCTTTAAATTTGTATTGTATCACAAATTTTCCCCAAATTTTTTCTATTGCTTTAAGTATATTAACTAGATATCATTTCTCTTCATTTTTAATCAATATTAAATACAATAGGGATAATGAAATCATTATAACCTTTGAAATAGTTAATGCAAAGGATGCCATTTCCCAGACTAGCCTACATAACTAAAATATCATCATTTGTATATATTAATCCCTTTTAAACTCATGACTTAAAACAAGATACAGTTGGAGGAAAGCAAAGTTACTGATTATTTTATAAATTTGTTGCAGAATCAAAACTAATCAATTGATTGTGTTTAATACAATAGGGATTAAATCCTGTATATCTTTCACCAACTCTAGAGGTTTTTAAAAAGTGGTTGTGATACTAATACACCAGGGATAAAACAATCTGTTTGGGTGCGAAGAAGAAGGAAAGATAAAACTTGACATCACCTCTTTAAGCAATTGATTTCAAATACAAAGCTAATTTAATCTTTTTAGCCACTTTGAAGATACAAGAGAATGAGAGGCATCTGTAAGTGAGAAAATAAATTAACAGGAAAGTGTTGTGATTGTAATTCTAGCTAAATTTCAGTGTCAGTTTTTATAATCCTGTAACAGTGACACATAATGCCTCTACCAAGGGATGATCCAAATGAAACTGATTAGATATTTCATGTTGTACCCAATAAAACAAAAGGATCAAAGGCAAAGGAAATAAAATGAATAAAAGATAATTTTTAAAAAATCATACATGTTTGGTCATTAATCCAAGGGAAACTTCCATTACAAAATGTTCAAGAATTATATATAAACACAATTTTAATGCCAATATATATAACTTAGAAATGTCTACTCAGAATTTGAACTATTTGAGTAAATCATTAAGAAAACATACCAAATAGTAGAAAGCCCCATTAAAGATTGTACTAAAAAAAAAAGAGAAATGCTAACAGCCATCATAATCTTCTACCAAATCAGCCAATGCAGAATAATTTACAAACAACGATTTAAGATCTTTGTGAAAATTCAATTAAGGGGCAAAAAGATTTTTCAGAGTCTACTGGGCACACAGCAATTAAGTTTATAATTTTTAAATTAGCTCAGGTGTTTGTTAATGCATGTAAGTGTATAATGCTTACACACATGTTACTAATAAATTATGTTTTTCCTAATTTATAAAACTATGGTAAAGTGCAATTAAAAAAATCTAAATCATTCCAGCAAGCTAACACATTAGGTATTTTACTTTCTAAGAAATAAAATTTATAAAGTATGTTATCCCTTAAAACTCAGAGTGGTTAAAAAGTCAATACATAAAAATAATGACAATTTCTTAACAATCAGGCTATTTTTTTCTCAGTTATGCTTTATAGCCATCTCAATGGGGATTTTATTAGTCGTTATGATTTTTGACACATATTTACAGGTGGTATAAAACTTAAATAAGCAAAACTTTCAGTTACAGCTTGATTAAATTTATCCTCTGGGGCTATTAAATGCGATACAATTGTGACTTAAAGAGTAGTTCATTAGCTATCAAGATTTTAATACTAACTACAACAATAGAAATGCCAAGGTGTTATCTTTCATATAACACTTAAGATTTAAGAAAAATCTATCATTTTTCTTAAAAATGACAAATTTAGGGGAAATCACAATGATACTATTAACTTACCACTCATAATTGTTTTCATTTTTTTGTATCAAATGTTTTAAGCAATATCCACTTACTACTTATAATACATTTTTTTATATTTCTTTATACTCAAGTAGAACAAGTCCACAATAGAATTCCTTGATTTTAAATACAGCAAATCTCATTCATTTTCTAAATTTTATATGAATATCTGAAAGTGTCTGACACAAAGTGAATATTTTCCATTGCAATGTATGAATATTCCAGGAAATAAAATCCTATGTGACTGAAACCTGATTTACAAAAATGATTCAGATTAATATCAAAAAATAATAAGAAGCTTAAATGATAAAAACTTCAAATGTGTATATTAAAATGGAACATTTTGAGTAGGCTCTGACATAACTGTAATCAAATCAAATATTGAGATTGTAAACTGAAAATAAGTGAGCAGATGAGTCATCTAATATCCTATGGAACCATGTTTCACTATCTCTAATTTCCATAATTTTTGGATATATCTCCACTAATCAAGACTCAGAGGGATGAAGTAAGTTTTCACATCATTGGTTCTGCTATTCATTAAATATCTTACTGAGATTTCTGTTAAACGCAAAGTACTTGACAGAAATTTTTAAGTGAAAATTGCTAAATCCAACTGCAAATATAAAATAATGAAATTAAATTTTGAGCATTTGGTAAAAGAACATTTAAAATACCATCTGTGAGAGTAGAGTTCATATACGATTATGCATCAACAATATTTGTAATTGTTTTCTCCCTCATTTTTTACACTATAAACATATGAAATCAGTATGAAACATGAAACCAGGCATACCTTAAACCACCAGCATATTCTTGTTTTTCAAATATGGTGATGTCAGAGTAGCCCAATCGAGCCAAAAAGGAAGCACAACTTATACTTGCAGGGCCAGCCCCAAAAAGAGCAATCTTTGCAGAATAGGCTTCAGTCATTTTCTCCGGGGGTGGCAGAGACGGATTTCTGATTTGTGGGATATTCATTGCTTTAAACACCTATGGAGAAATCAATTGCCATGGTTAAAATTTTTAAACTAACATTAACTTCCTTACGCATATTTTTGAAAAACTACTCAAATTCATTATCTCACTCTTTAATATTAGTAATGTAACACTGCTTTTTAAATTTGGTAACTTTAACATGTTTCATCCTGTTCTCATTTTATTCAAGTAACACTGGCTTACAAGATTGCTTATGATTTAGAGGTAAAAGTTCATACCACTTCATAGGTATATGTTACTACACCACACCTACTACCAAGGCACCCAGAGTCCTCCACTACAGTTCATTTTGGTACCCTCCTCTCTGAGCTTTCCTAACCCCTCCTCCTCTGGTATTCAATTTTACAGTCATATTCCTAGCGTTGTTTTTGGTTTGGTTTTGTCTGACCCTTTGTTTTGTTTCTCTATATTCCACATATAAGTTAAACCATCTGGTGTTTGTCTTTCTCCTTCTGCCTTATTTTGCTTAGCATAAACTCCTCCAGTTATACCCATGTTATTGTAAATTGCAAAAGTTCATCTTTCTTATAGCTGAGCAGTGTTCCAGTATGTTTATATGCCACATCTTCTTCTTCCACTTAATGGCCATTGGGCACTTAGGTTGTTTCTACAGCATGGCTATTCTTTTTTTTTTAATAATAAATTTTATTTTTATATTCCCCATACAATTGCAACCCCCCCATTCTGACGCCAATCCCTCCCCTCCCGCCCCCCACCCCCCAAAAAGTGTCTCTGGTTCATAGTTTTTTGCTGATTTTGATTTTCACATTCTTATAGTTATTCATTAGCGCTACTATGGACACAGAAATGCACATTTTTCTTCAAATTATTGTTTCTGCATTCTTTAGGTAGATACCCAGGAGTGTTATTGATACAAAAGAAATAAGTGAGAGAAAAGTAATATGAATATTTGGGGTAGAAATGAGAAAACAAATAGCAACATGATGAATATAAATACATATGAGTAATTACATTAAATTTAAGTGGATTAGAACTCTAATTAGAGTGCCAAAATTATTTTATATATGCATACACCTTAAACATATGAAGAAAGGTGTAAAGTAAAGCTATACTATGGAAAAAGTGATATTACATAAATATGAGCCACAAGAAAATTTGTATATATATGTCAGTATCAGAAATATTAGACTTCAAAGCAGGGTACATTGGTAACATTTAAAAAAATAAAAAGGCCAATCCACTAGATTTAAAAAGGCCAATCTACAAGATTTAAAATTATCAATCTATAAATATAAAATTGCAACTTCAAAATTTAGAGAGAGAAAATAAATCAATCTTCTTACTACTATCCTATTATAAAAACTTGACTAGCAATAGAAGTTGCTGATGAGTAAATTCATATTTAGGATAAACTATAATATTTAAGAACTTATTTGTATTTAATACAAATTTGATGTTTTCTTGAAATCCTCCCACAATCTTGATTTATTCCACTTAATACAGTCTACCATTCAAAATATTTAAGGGAGATAAATGATATAATTTGAAGGTTAAAAGAAGGGATTGTCAGAAACTGTTAAAAGGCCCAACTTAGACTGAGCTACATGGTACTCATAAATGTTCCTATAACATTTTGTAATTTTTCTCCTAATGCTTAATCATATTTTCCTGATTTATCTGTGTTTTTCTTCCCTTGGGTCAGGAGAGCTTTAAGGGCACACACCATCTTTGATTTTTTTTTTTAAGTTCTAGTGTTTTTTTTATTTTTATATTCCCCATTCATTTGCAACCCTCTTATTTTGACCCCCATCCCTCTTTTCCCCACCCCCCCCATAGTGTGTCTCTGGTACATAGTTGTTTGTTGATTTTGATTTTTCTTTCTTATGGTTATTCTTTTTCCTGGTCCCTTATTTAGGTTTTCCAGATTCCTGCTATGAGTGAGACCATCCGGTATTTTTCTTTTTCTTTCTGGCTTATTTCGCTGAGCATGATCCCTTCCAGCTCCACCCATGTTGCTGCAAATTGCATGAGTAATATTCCATTGTGCATATGTATACCACATCTTCTTGATCTAGTCATCTATTTTTGGGCATTTGGGTTGTTTCCAAAGCTTAGCTATTATAAATAGTGCTGTTATAAACATAGGGGTGCACGTGCTCTTTGGAATTAACGTTTCTGTGCCTTTTGGGTAAATACCTAGGAGTGGAATTGCTGGATTATATGGAAGCTCTATTTTTAGTAGGTTGAGGAATCTCCACACAGCTTTCCATATTGGTTGGACCAGTTTGCACTCCCAAAAGAGGCAATAACCAAAACAAAGAGAAACCCCACCAACTGGGAGAAAATTTTTGCACACAACACTAATGATAAAGGACTGATAACAAAAACCTACAAAGAGCTGATGAGACTCACAAAAACAAAGAAAATAATCCAGTCAAAAAATGGGCAGAAGAGCTAAAAAGAAACTTCTCCAAAGAGGAAATGCAAATGGTCAACAGGCATATGAAAAAATGTTCAACATCACTTGTAATCAGGGAAATGCAAATCAAAACTACAATGAGACACCATCTTACACCAGTGAGAATGGCACATATTAAAAAAAGTAGCAACAAGAAATGTTGGCGAGGATGTGGAGAAAAAGGAAGTTCTAGTGTTTTTCTATAGAAGGAGATGAATATATAATTAATGAAGGGTTTGAATTATAACCATTTCTGATTCCAGGCCAATTTTGGAATTTACAAATTACAGATGTATAATAGATTTTCTCCTATATTAATTTTGAATCAGCACAAATTTTACCTTTTATTATTCTAAGCAATCTGAAGGGAAACCAATCTAATTGTAAACTAATAAACTATTTTATTGAATCCATTAATATGGAAGTATTTGAGATATATCTTTTCAGAGTAAGATTTTTTCACAAGTTGATATTTAAAACAGGCATTTAACGTGATGGGGGAGAGAAAGCGAATTTCACTTAGGGATTAAATAAATGCTAATTTCTTATTCAGTTAAGTACTCTTTGTTTGCTTTACAAACTAATTAAAAACTAAAGTTTCCCAAGTTAAAAATCAACCAGCATTTATAAATTAACATTGCATTGTAACAAATTATAGACACAGGAAGCATATGATACTCTTTTTTTTAATTTTATATAATTCTTACATCATTTTTCATTTTTGCCCAATATATGCATTTTCATTTTGTTTATATTCCCCATACAATTCCCACCCCCCTTATTTAGATCCTAATCCCTCCTCTCCTTCCCCACCCCATAGTGTGTATCTGGACTGGATCAAGAAGATGTGGTATATATACATATGATACTCTCAAAGAATTATTTATTTCTCATATCTGATATAGTGGTTAAGAATTCTGCAGGCTGAAAACTTTGTTATATTGTGAAGATAAACTGTAATAACCAAATAAAACAGGAATTATGAAGTATTTGTCTTGTTTCATTCATACAAAAACAAGGGTTACTTTAGTTTTTAGACACTGTAAATATTAAACTGTTTGATATTCAATCTTCACCTCTATCATTCTCATGAAACATGATTATCAAACAAGTCCTTAATCTGCCTATGCCTCAGTTTCCTCAAACTATAAAGTGGGATTAATAATATTAATTTCATATTGCAACTATGCAAATGAAATAAGTTAATAAAATCTATCAATAAATAAATAATTTTAATTATTTTATTTTTATTTTTGAGTAAATAGATAAAATGTTTCCTTCAACTATTTTAAGATCATTTTATTTTTCATTAGTAATATATAATATCTACAAAGCCTCATACTAAAACAAACATTGTCTTATAGAAAACCACAAACAAGGCCTTATAGCACTAAAGGATCTGGTTGGGACCTTATTACAAAGTTTACTTCCATTGAAATTATATTTAGATATGAGTTACTAAGCACTGGCTATCTGCAAGGCACTTGGCTTGGTGCTTTACACAATTTTGTCCACTTACTAGCAGTCTACAATCGCACTGTCCCTAGAGATCATGAACTAATATGAGGGTTCTCCCATCTGTAATCCTAGAACAGAGGAAAATTCTTTCACATACTAGGCATTCAACAAGATTTTGATGAATTTCAAAATTTCTGAACTCCAGGGATAGTCCAACAATTGAGAAACAGTGACCAGGGAAACAGTCTTCCTCAGTGATATGGAAAAAGGGTTATATTTAAGTGCATATTCTACTTGAGGATAATTTTAAAATAGATTTCCTTGTGTAATAATTCTGTGATTTCTGATCTTTCACTTATCTGAAATGTGAATTTCTTTCATCACTCCAAATTGACGTTACTGGCAATTCTTACATAAGTTTCATATTATTATGAGACAAGGGAGAGATTATTGTGATTTTTTTTTTAAATGGAATGATTGAGACACAGAGAGGGGACATGTGATTTTCTTCCAAGCCTCCTCACATTCTGGAGACAGAGACAGTATAATTTTCTAATCATTATATAGTGCTCTCTAATTGTAAAACAATGACGCATGGCCAATGCACACATATTTGCCAATTCTAGTATGAAGGTAACCCTTTTTCATTTTAATCTTTCTTACATTATAAATTGGCACATAATAAAAACAAACACAAATGTCTTGTAGCCATGATTTTTGCTCAATTACTCTTGTTTTCATTAACCAAGTAATAGCAAAATATTTTACAAGGAAATTATAAAATGAAAAAAAGTCTTGGAAATTTCAAAATATCTACATTAATTAAAGACTGAATTCTAAAGGGTGGTTCATTGTGTGTACATCCTCCATTTTTTTGCAAGTATTTAACTTAATTTCATTATAAACTAAAACATAATTTCTAGTAATTTCTTAAAAAGTTATTACTTGTGACTGTAGGTGTATGAGAAATCTTAATAAAAATACTACATTGGTTTCCATTTTGCTAGTTTCAGTTTCTTTGAATTACTTAATTAACAGTATGATGGTCTGGCTACATTTTGAAAGCTTGAATGGAGAAAGAGTGCTATTTGTGCATCCAAAAGTAAGTTACCTCAAA